ATCTAAAGACAAGAAAAAGAAAATGAAAAGAATTGTTTTTTTTTACTTTCAATTGTACGGCACGAACAGTAGTAATTTGTACATTTTGATTTATAACAGGCACTAAAGAATCATTTGAAAAATAAAAAATTTAATGAAATAAACTTTACTTTCTTTTGCTAAACGTCGTTCAACAGTTGGTGAAACTTTTCGTGCAATAACTGTATCAGAACGTTTAAATCTAATTGGACTTTGTGTTGGTCGTTCATAAAGTGAATGACGAACAGTACGTTGAACTATAAATAGAAAAATTGTATTTTTTTTATCTTCATATAACAAAAATAGATATAATACAAACATTCATCTTTTAATGTTCGAGTTCTTGCTGGTCGACTACGAAAACGACCTTCATTAGTAATTACATTGACTTCTACGATATATTCTGTATCAGATTTAAGTTTTGTTGCATGATATTCTTGATCTATACCAGAATAAATACAACGACCATTACAAATAAGTTCATAACGAAATAATCGACCACATATAACTTCTGGTGCTTGCCATTTTATATGTAATTCACGTCGACCAATAATTGGAAATGTTGGTGGTGCCGGAATAGAATCACCTAAAATATAAAAAAAAGAAAACTTTCAAATTATGTTAAGATGTTTCTTTTTTTTTAATTGTTACCATTAGATTCAGTTTTTACATAAATTGAAGTACGTTGTCCTTTTCCTTTCATTGTTACGGCACATACATCAATTTTGTAAGCTGTATTAGGTATCAATGAATTAATTGTAATTTCACATTCATTAGTAAATTCATATTCAATATCATCTACGTATTTTTTCTTGATTTTAAAAGAAAACACAGAAAAAAAAGATTGATGTTATTCATCTTACTTAGATATATTTGATAACCTTTGAAAAAATTACAAGCACTAAGATCAGGTGATTCCCAACCTATACGAGCGGCTGTCATTGTTGTACGAACAATATGAAGATTAATAACTGGTGGTGGTACTAAAGAAAATCAATATTTATATTTTATATAAATTTTTACTGTGAAAATTAATCAATTTGACAATCTGTATTGTACATTTCATGAGTAATGACACACTCGAATCTGACGTTCTTTTTTAATTTGATGAATCTTATTTCACTGCAGAAAATTGAAATTTTTTTACATGTTTATCTCTACACATTGAGATGATGTTAAAGTTCAGTGTCTATGTCGTCATGGTTTTTAACGGGATCTTTTCTTGTCATATAGAATGATACGTGAATCAAACTAATCGTAGATTTAAAACAATTTTCTGTCAAAGTAGTATACAAAAACTATGTAGAGGCTAACAAATAAATCTTCACTGAGCATCATCTCATTTAAAAATATTTCACCACTTCTGTTCAGACAAAGGATATTAGAAGTGTTGCCATGATATTAATTTCATAGACACTAAAACTTATAGTTTTTACTATAAACGAGTGCTAACATATGAATCTCATTCATTATGAAATAATGATACCGTTTGACTTCTTGATAAACCTAAGAAAAGTTTAAAAGGATTCGGATCCCATAGTCTACTATTGAAGATATTTCAATGAAACTTTTACTGAGAACAAGACATTTTCAAAAAATTCAAAACAAAGAATTTCGAACTGCAACTATGTATGTAAATATACTTGACAGTTCTGAAAGTTTCTACCCAAACAACGTCAGTCTTTCGAGAAATATTCAATATCTAAAAACAAAACGGTTTATCGTAGGACGACAAACTAAGCAAGTTCACTTGGTAATGGAATATCTTGAAAAAGATAGGTTCATTTTCGTTGAAACTTAGAACTATCAAACGTACTTAAAAATATTAATTTTTTAGAAGTATCTTGATGTCAATAGAAATTTTATTACAACGAAACATAAGTTTTCAACGATAAGAAATACTTAAAAATATTCTTCAAAAGTAAAATTAACTATTCTCGTTTTCGACTTTCCTATCCGAATTCTAGTTTTTGATCCGAACTTTTGCATATTTCTCTCATGAAAAAAAGAAAGCCACTCGTAATTATAATATGAAGTCGCGAACAGCATTAGATGATTATTTTTTTGCATTCCTTAATTGATTTAAATTTTAACTTACATTCATCCTCCGTCTGGAATATTGTTGGATCACTAGGAATACTTTCGCCTAGTGTTGTTACATATTGAATTTTTACATTATAATTTGTATTTGATTTTAAATTATTTATAGAATAATTTGTTTTATTTGTTTTTGTAATAGAAACATCATCTTAAATATTAAAATAAAAATATTTGAATAGAAAAAATGAAAATTTTACCTAATATAATACGATATTGTATTTCTTTATCATCTTCAATAGATATACATGGATCCCAAGAAATATCAACCGAAGTTTCTCGACATTCTAAATAACAAAAAAAAATAAAATTAGAAAGATATTAATATAAAAGTTTTTTTTTTTTTTTTTTTTCTTTAACCATCAATTTGAGGTTGTTTTGGTTTGATATTTTTATTTAACATAAACCAAAGTAATTTTGATTCATCTTGTATATCTTTATATTCAATCCATTTTTCTTGTATTTGTTTAATTATTTCTAATAAGTTTTTTGAATAACATAAATGTTCATATGCTCCATTATGTTTAGCAATTGTTGTAAGACACCTAAATTTAAACAAAAAACTCCTTATCAATCATTTCTTGTTTTCTATGTAAAACAAGAAATCAAATTATATCAATTACATTAAAGCAAACCAAACAGTTTCATGTTCTATTGATAAAAGTATTTTTTCAATAGCAATAAGTATTTGATGAAATAATATTATTGATTCAATACACAATTGAAAACCATATTGACTTGTACATAAACAACTTAATGCATAACAAGCATTTTTATTAATACCTTTATCTTCATTAATTTCAAGCATTATTAATATTGCTTCAAACTTTAGAAAAGAACAATTTTTTTTTTGCAAATTTTAATATTAAAATATTAACTTACAAATTTATTTTGTCCACAATCATTAATTAAAATTTTCTTGCCACCTTCTCCTTCAATTAAACGTGCTATAGCAAATGCAATATTAGTTGAACGACTTGGATCATTTACATCAAGAGCAGCTAAAAGTTGATTTAATATTTCATGATGTTTAGTATGTGTCAAAATTATTTGACAACCAACTTCTTCTACTGTCAGTCTATTATATGAAATACAATAAGAATTTCTTTTTCTTTTTTTTAAGATTATTTTTCACCTTGCGAATACTAATGCTGCATTACTAGCAATCCATGGATTAGTTGAATTTAATAATAATGATATATTAAAAACCATCTGAGAAATACAAACATGTTTTAGAATTAAATGCCGTCCTTCTTTTGAGCCAGACTGAAATATAAAATTCGATGAATTGTGTTTTTTTACCGTCAAGAAAAAAAAACAAAGCAACTTGTGATAGTATCAGTTTAGTTCAAAGAATTTCAAATAGAAAAAAAAAGATTCATGCTTGATATAAAGATAGAAAACCCATCACAAGTCCACAGTACATAACCTACATACTATAGTACCGAGTGTCCCTGTTGCATTTAATATACAATCAGAATCCGGATGTGTTAACATTTGACATAAAATTTGTACAATATCAACTGTTGTTGACAGGCAATTATCAGTAAATATAGATAAAAATTGTTTCAAACCTTTTTCTATTTCAATTATACTGCCTATAATGTAAGCACAATTACCACAAATACTAAAATATTGATAAAAAAGACAAAAAAATGTTCAACATAAATATATATTTACTAACCGATCATCATCACATGATAATAAGTTTGCAATAAATAGAAAAATATCATTAACAAATTCTTGATTAAGAAAATGATCAATAGTTTTATATTGATCATGTTTTAAATCATCAACAAAATATTCCAATGCATGACGAATATGTTTATTAATATGAGAAAATTTTGAATTTAATTTATCATTTTCATTTAATTTAATAAAACGAAGAAAATAATTTTTTTGTTCAAAATGAAATTGATTATTATTATATTCATTTTCCATTTGAAAATAAATGTCCGAACAATAAGTCAAAAAATTATAGAGAAAAGAAAATGTTTGCAACTATTGCGTTGCTGCTCATGTGAACATGTTTCAAGTATATTTATTTGAATAAAAGGTAAAAAATCAAAATACAAAAAAGAAAAAAAAAAAAAAAAAGACAAAAACAAGAGTAAAAATAACACATTGGTAGTCAAATGTTTTTTTGTTATTCTTTTTGTCAAACAAGTTAATAATCAAATTGAAGTCGTTCATTACAAACTTGATCAATAGCTTGATTTATAGTTAAATCTAATAAACCAATTTCACATAGATTAGCAATGATATAAAGTTTATTAAGAACAAATTCATTCTAAAAATAAAATTATTAATTAAAAGAAAAAATTTAGCTAATTAATTAATATAACAAACTTGAAGATCAAAACATTTTTCTTGAATATGTTCTACTACAGATTGATAACAACTATATTGAGTTAATTTCATACGTTTTTCTGTAACAATTTCTAAATAACCACCACGATTTAATGACAATGCTGTTGAAGCTATTTGTATAATACGCGCTGTTATTATTTCACGATCCTAAATGAAAATAAACAATCATATCTAATCGTTTGAACTCAAAAGAATAAAAAAAAATGCAAAAACCTCGGATTTAAATCCGAGTGTTATGTGTACTTCAAAAAGTGAACACGTATATTCACTTTGTTTTTTATCATCTGAGACATATCTAGGCAATTTGCTTTCTGGATGCAGTTTTTGTGCATTTTGAGACCTTTTTCAGGCGATGTTTTGTTAGAAAGCTATGATTTGGTTCAAAACTAATATCAGATTCGGAATCAGCGTTAAAAACTAAGTCGATTTATATATGCTGTGAATAATTCTGAGAAAAAAATGTTTTTTTTGAAAAATCCCTGTACCCCCCCTCAGGGATGGTCTGGTCAATAATGACAATTTTTTCGATAACTCAGCCATTTCGTGACGGATCCTTCCCATCTTCGAACTCGACTGAGACATTGATGAGATTGAACTGTGTAGAAAATTTCATCACGATCTGACTCTCCTTTCGAAAGTTATCGTGTAAACGGCCGGCCGGACACACTGACCGATTCTATAGTGTACTCACTTTTTGAGTACACAAAAAACTATTAAAATCTATAGAATGGGATTTGCTATCGGCAACTAGAGTCCGTTGGATTGAACTCCGTGTTTCTTGTACGAACATCGTCAAGATGCTCTGAGAAATGGTTTGGGTTTGTTAGTTACTGAATCTACATAAGCAAAAAAGTATATCGTATTGGCAGAGCAATTTTGGAGATGCATTAAAAATTTTTGTTCAAAATATTATGAATGAGGATCGCGTCTGGTTCAAAAATCTTGAACTCGATTGGACTCTACTCTTTAAGACATACTTTATATAATTGTGCAAGTTCATGTTCTAATTTTTCTTTTTCGACTGAATTATCTTTTGCAGCAGCTAAACGACGACTAACAATTGAAATACGAACATCTTGAGTAGGAACAGCATCACGCTATCATAAAAAAAAATTCAATAGAAAACAGATTAGAAACACAATTTAAAGTGTTCTTATTTTATCATACTCGAAGTGCAGCATTATGTTTCTTTAATAAATTACGAATAGGTTTATATATTTGTTTTGTTGCACCTTGAAATTCACTAACATTATGATTTTTACCTAAATTCTACAAAAAATAAACAAAAGAATTTTATTTTTCACAAAAAAACTTATTTATCTCGTACAAGATCACCATATTGCATAACATGACTTGTATTTGTATTTTTTTGTGTAACTAAAAATTGTTGATATAAAGTTTCTAAATCAATTTGTTCAACATCAGAATCTTCCATCCAAACAACTGAATAAACATCTCCTAAATATGTTTGTCGTTTATCATCATAATAACAAGCATATGATGATTCTTCAGCATTTGATGCTGTTGTTGCATATATATTTATATTATTTGGTAGAAGATTTTCAAGCATTGAACCTGATTCACATGCTTCAATATAAATAACCATCTTTAATTATGAACAAAAATAAAAAAAAAAAAAGATTTAAAACAAGAAAAAAAAAAAAATTTTACTGACTTGTTTGTATTTCTTTTGGGTATACATTTTAGTTATTGTTTCATTCAATTCTTTGGCATGAAGCTATGAATAACAATAAAAAGCTTTTTTCTTCTTCAAAGACATATGAATACTTACAACACCATGTGGAAATGCAACCAAGCCTATATAAAAGAAAAGAAAAATCCATTTCATTAGACTTTTTTTTTTTTTCATAGAAAAATAAAATTTCACTTACCAACGGCACCATGATCAGTAAAATAGATGAAGACATTATCATCGGGACCACTAAAATAGAAATAGAAATTTTAAATTTCATTTTTAAAATTTAGTTGAAAATAAATTATGTGATTAGAATTTCTATCAAAAATTGTTCGGTATCTTTTGAATCATCATACATTGCTGATATACCAATGCTAGAAGCGTTCCCACTCTGTCTACAGACTTGACTAAAGAATTGAACTGTCTTACAACTTTTCTCTTGTTATCTGTGTACGAAAATTAATTCGCTCATTGAATTAACTTTTTAATTACCTTTCTAAAACTTTACCACTACCAACACCTTTCAAAGCTTCTTTGTTACCAAGTAAAACATGTATAAAATTTTTTGGTGTTACTTCCTATTTAAATATGAAATTATAGAATAAAATATAAGAAAAAGAAAAATACATTCATTATACCAAATGAGTGTAATCATGAGGTACACCATGATAAACATCGGCTCCATTCGGATGATTGATAACAATACCTTTAGTTGGATTTCTGAAAACCAAAAAAATTATTATTATTTTTTTTTTTAAGACAAAAATGATTCGACTTACTCAATATTTCGAGCTAAATCATCATACATCATAACAATAATATTTGAATCCGGAATACCATTTTTATGTAAAATTTGATAAGCATGACAAACATCAGCTTGATGTCGATAATTATACCAACCATTAGAACCAGCAACAAGTACTGCCCAATTAGCTGCCCAAGTACAATTAATACTGAATAGAATAAAACTTGCTATGAAAACTATGAGTTGCCGATACATTTCACAGGTGTATGAAAGAAGATAAAAAATAAAATAAAAGAATTGTATGACAATAAAAAAAAGTGAAATAGACAACAGTTTAAATTTATCTAACTCATTTTAGATGATAATACAAATATAAAACTTTTTGTTATCATTAATATGAAAACATTTATAAATCTTTCATTGCTAAACGAGATATCACATCTTATCTATGATAATAATATTCAGTAAATAATGTATATGAAATCATGTGACATATATATAAAGTCATTCAAAAATATTATTAATTTAACAAATGAAATCTTCTAACTAATAAGTTTGAATATAAGATTTTAATAGAGATAAAAAGTTTTAATTAGTATTTCATTCTATATTCATCAAATATAGAATACAAATTATATTCTAAGACAATAATCTATATTAATTATTTTATTTATTAAGATAAAAAAAAAAAAATATCTTTAAAATTAATTTCTATTTCATTATTAGTTAAAATTTTGTTTATTATTTATTTATATTTCTATTAAATAATTTTCATAAATTTTATTTTTAAACAAAAATAAACAGTCAATTAACGTCGTATTGGTTGTTTGCGACCAACAACTCGAATAAGACTTGCATTTGTTATACCATATCGTCGTAATTTTCCTTGAGGTGTTTCATGTAAATTTTGTCCTTTAAACATAATACGTTGTACATGTGTTGGAATATTTAATTGTTTTTCTATATGTTGTTGAAGTTCTTCAACTGTTGGATCACTTGAATTAGTCGGTAAAATCATTTCATTTATATCACCTCCATATTGAATTTGAAGTTTGAGAAAATGCATTTTAAAATTTCTAATCTTAAAAAAAAAAATCATTTTAATCAAAGGATATGTACATGAATGATTTCTAATGTCAAATTTTTCATAATAGAGAATGGTGAACTCACAATTGAAAAATGTATTTTTTTACTTCAATTTCTTCTTTCTATCGCTCAATTGACCTTGAAGACTTTACACTTTTTCGTGAAAAATAATATAAAACTACGTATTTGTATAACTCACTGTAATAAAATAATATTATAGAAGCCATAGTAGAGCAATACCTTTTTGTTTTACATAATAAATATTACTATGTTATAAAATAAAACTTTATTATATATACATCGCAAAAAATGTCTATTAAAAGTTTAGCAATTTTTTTTTTAACTGGATCTATTCGAGTCATGCATTTTACTAACGAGGGAACATTCCCAAGTGATACCCGCCGTTTTAGCTCATATTGTGCCCAAAAGTAGATCTCGGTAGGACTAGAGAAAGTCTAAAAGGGTTCGTGCCATTGCGCCTTTGGAGCTGAGTTATGCCTAATTTACTGAATTTTCGGCCCTTTTTAGGATACTGATCGAAAAATCAAATTACGAAGTTTCCATCTGAAATTTCTAACATAGATAGATATAGTTACACCTAGAATATCCTGAAAGTTTCAGCCGAATAGAATGTTCCTTTGTAGAGATATTGGATCTCCAAAAAATAGTCATTTGCGACAGATATTTCACAAAAGTCGAGTTTAATTGAAAATGCAATAACTCGACAAAGGAACATTCTATTCGGCTGAAACTTCCAGGATATTCTAGGTGTAACTATATCTATCTATGTTAGAAATTTCAGATGAAAACTTCGTAATTTGATTTTTCGATCAGTACCCCAAAAAGGGCCGAAAATTCAGTAAATTAGGCATAACTCGGCTCCAAAGGCGCAATGGCACGAACCCTTTTAGACTTTCTCTAGTCTTACCGAGATCTACTTTTGGGCACAATATGAGCTGAAACGGCGGGTATCACTTGGGAATGTTCCCTCGTAAGATAATCATAGTGTATTAAAGATCTGTGTAGTTCATATATTTTCTATTCCGATTAACTTAGTAATAATTTTTTTTGCCATCAAACAATATAGTCAATATTACAGTTTTGATTTTATAATGTGTATTTCATTGAATAAAAACTTTAGTAAATAACATATTATTTATATTCTACATTCCATTTAACATACCTACCGTACAGTATAGTTACCTACATATTCTTATGTTTCTACTAACCTTGTCTATTTGCTTATGTTGCTATTCTTATTTTACTCGTTTAAATGAAATTATTCTATGATTTTTATTTCTTGTATAAAACAGCAAACGTCTACAAATGTATGCACATATGTGTGTGGTTGTATGTCACCATTGACATTATTAAAAAGAAATGTCTTTTAATTTTATTTACAATTTGACTTCAACACATTAAAAGAGAAATAAAAAACAAAAAGAAAGAAGAACAGAAAAAGAAAAGCAAAGAAAAATATATTTAAATTAACTTGCATAGAACAAAATAAATAAATAAATAAAAGATTTATAAAACAAATGGTGGTGTTTTATCTTCACTTTTTGATATGGTTGCTAATTGAGCAATACGATCACGTCGTTCAATTTGATGAAAATCAATATCTGTATATATAACAGTTGATGATCGTTCAGTTTTTTCTTCATTTAAATTATTTATTTGATCTATATTTTGATCTAATGTATTTAAATCTTGTTGTTGTGATTCATCATCAATATTTGTTGATGGTAAAGCTAAATCAGTATAATTAATTGTTTTTTCTGATGTTAATAAAGGTTTTGTTAAAATAGTTATGAGATTAGGTAATGGATTATTATTTATAGATAATGGTTCAACAAATGCGTATGAATCATTTGTTGGTAGTTTTTCTTCATTTATATTTGTTAAATGTGTACGTGATATTGATGTTGGTAAATTATATGATGAAACACGTGATAAATCTGTTTGACTTTGTTCATCCGATATTGGTAATGATAATGGTGGTGATCCAAGTAAATATGTTGTTGTTTGATCTGTTAAATTATCATCAAAAACTATAATACTACCATGTGATGCACATATATGACCTGATGTATTATCACCAATATTATTTGTTGAAAGTGATAATGTACGAAATATATGTGAACTTGATGATGATGATAATATATTATCAAATGAATAAATATTTGATGCTTGTTGTTGATGAGATAATGACATAAGACTAAGATCAGAATTAAGTCGACGATTAATATTTGATACATCAGATAATGGACTTGATGGACGTTCATTTGAATCATTTGTTAATGGAATTTTATTTAATGTTACTATACCATATGAAAGAAATAATGATTGTTGAGAATTAGAATTTGATGTTGGTTGATGAAAAGAACTATAAAAAATAAAATTATTAGATTAATTAATTAAAATTAAAATTTATTAATCTAACCTTGTATTATTTGATACACATGATAACATATTAGATTCATTTGCTAAAGAAAATAATTCTTTTAATAAAAAATATTCTTAAATTATGAAATTAGTCTAATTTACAGATTTTTATTTGATCATAAAATATCTATACTAACTTTCATATATATATAGTTTATCATTACGAGAAATTGATGCAATCATTGCAAAAAATTCTTTATTCTCATAGTTTGATTTCTCAAATTGAGCATGTTGAACTCTGATTACAAGAAGTAACTAGCGTTCGTATGAGTGAGCTGAAATATCAATATAGAAAACCGAGTTTGTGATGTTAAAAGCTATTTTAAACGTTCTATTTTAATTAGAAACTATTTCAGTCAAGGAAATAGTAGAGAAGAATTTTCCAAAATACTCCAAGGGCAATTTATTCTTTAACGTTTTATTTGAATTCTAAATAGATTTTTATTGTGCTTAGTAAATTTAATATGTATTTAATGATATTTACTATAATTATTATTATTATGTAATTGTGCTTTGAAAGGTTGCATAACACTAGCTGGAGAAGTAAACGAACGTTGTCCAATTGGAAAAACAGTTCTTTCTACAAAAAATTCAAAAAAATAAATAAATTTTTTAATTAAATTTATTTTTTGTTCTACCTTCAGCAATCAAATGAACTGAATTACCAACAATAATAGCTGAACGAACATGTGGTGGTACACTGATCATAGCTAAATAAAAAAAAAAAAATTCAACAATAGAAATTCTAATATTTAATCTATTGCGATGGTAAATGTTTTTTTTTTCTTCTTCTTTTTAAATACTTCTAACTTACTATTAACACCAATATCTGTAGATGTTGTTGTTTCTTTTATTGGTTTATCATCATGTATTTCTTCTGATTGATTTTGATCTACTTTTTGAACAATTGGAACCATATCAATATATGTTCCATTCGTTGTTTCATGTTTATTTGTAGATGATATAAATGAAATTTTATCTTTTTTATTGTTTATTAATTCAGATGAATTGATTACACTTTGAGATTTTGGTAAAATATATTGTTGTTGTTCATGAGAATTTTGTTTTTCTTCAATATTTAATTCAAAAAATTTATTCATTGATGAAGATAAAATTTTTGATTGTTCATTTAAATGAGTTTGATTATTATCAATTGGATATGATCGTTGTAATTGTGTAGTATTTTTAACTAATTTACGAACCCAACCAAATACTGAACGTGGTTTTATTTGATTTGGTTTCGTTGAATTTTCTGGTAAACATTCAGTTGAATGACTTTTTAAAAATGGTAATGAATTATCAACAATTGATTGATTTGTTGTATCATGATTAAGTTGTATAGGTGGATGAATATTTTTCAATTTTTCTATTCTTTTATTAGTTAATAATTGATTTTGAAATGCTGATGTAAATATTAATGGTCGTTCTTCAATAACTGGACTAACAAGTAAATGTATTGTACTTGCTAATGATGATGATTGACATTTCATATGTATTTCACCATTACCATAATTTGATTTACCTAATTCTATTAGAAATATATTTGAACGATTTCCATAATGATTTATTGTAAAATAAGGTATACATAAAATATCTTGATTCTTTAATGGACATTGATTTGTAATAGTAGTTTTTAAATCATCTTGATTACAATCAATAGAAGCAATATAAAGATCTGTTGTTGTAAAATAAAGACGAATATGACCAATTAAAATATGATTAGAAGATATAATTGTTCCATATGGAATTAATTTAGCATCAAATGTATGTAAAACATTTTCAGTAGTTGATAAACATGGTAATTCCTGAGATGTTTGTGGTTTATTAATTTCAATTATTTTTTCATTTCTTTTCTGACACATATATTCAAGATGTTTAATAATATGAGATTTTTTATGTAAATTTTCATCAGAAAAATATATTGATATTGTATAAGTTTCAAAATAAATATAAATAAATGCTTTAAAATCATTTATAATTGGTTCAAAAGATTCAAATGATATACAATCATTTAATAATATTGTTGAAGTTTTTGTTTTACCAATTATTTCTATACATGGTTGTTCATTTGATGATGATAATGGAGAACTTTCAACAAATGTTAAATAAATATGACGATTAGTTCTCTAAAAATATAAAATATGATATTGAACACTATTTATCATATCATTCTGAAATTTCTAGTTCATCAAATAAATTTTGAAATTTTTCTGGCAGATAGATCTTGACTAATAGAACAAAAAATTATCATTTCGGATGCTGTCATCTATGAGATATTGTGATCATAATGACCTCAATTTTCGCGTCGATTACTCCGAGATACTATAGTCGATCGCGCTGAAAATTTTTTACAGACACTAAATATTGTTTGGAGTAGATGTCTCATTCTTTTTTTGGCCTTCAAATAAAACAGATACCCTAAAAAAAACTACAAATATCTATTCTAAACAGTGTATAAGTATAATATGAAAAAAAAAGGTTTCAGTTTGTTCAGACTTCTCGAAGAAATGGACACGTTTCTTCATTTTTTTATGAATAAAACAATTTATTTGAGAAAAACACGATTTGCTATTTCCGTTACGTAGAATTGTTTTTGGAATGTTTAGAAACAATATTTGAATTACAAAATGAATTCACTAGATCGATACTACGTCAGACTATAGAATGATCACAAAAAATCAAAAATCTTATGTAACAAAAGGTGGGAAGTTATTCGTAACTTTTTAAATAGTCGAGATTTCTCTATTGACGAAACTCCAACTATTGAGCCTACTAAAGTATTGAGTCGAGATGATTTCCAAATATCGTGTAAAAACTTTAATAAGTAACAAAGTCGAAAAACAAATAAAGTTTCTTTTCATTATTCCTTTGTACAAATTATATTAGAGTCCTGCATTGGACTCCGGGTTTATATAAATTATAGAAACTTCAAAAATCTTATTTCATCTTTTTCTCATGTAGTATTTATTTTTGACAATTGTATCATCTTGTAAATAAAACCTGCCAATCCATTAGCCAAATAACAAAAAATAGATCAAATCCAATTTCATATCACAACTTTATTTTCATTATTATCGCATAATCTTCAATTATATAATGTCGCTAATTTACGAAAAAAACAAAATTTCAGATTGATTATAGAGGTAAAAGCAGCATTTTTCATGACAACTTTTAACCCATTTTTTGTGATCACGTTCAAAATTTAAGGTAGAACCTATATAGAAGCTAGTACCCATTTTGGCTCTACTTTCAACGTATTACGCTTCTGAGTTGATCATCCTACTAGTGCGTAATATCTTCATATTAGAACTAATAGTCAGTTGAAAAGAATTCTGTGGCTAGATTTTTTTATTCTTATCAATAGAATATAGAAACTTATAACTTCTGTTATGACTATATAACGATATATTATCCTTCAATATTATGTATTTGTTTAAAGAATTTAATCATAACAAGAAGACTTCTATTTTCATATAAATAACATAACAACGTAACAAGAGAAAGTCGTAAAAAAAAATCAAATTAATTATAAATACAATGTCCATGTCATACAAGAAAAAAAATGCGTTATTTTTAATTTATTTTTCATCTTTACAATAAAATGACGTCGTTCAAATTCAACTATATCAGTATCTCAATTAGCATTTGTTTAATCTATTTTTCGTGGTTGACTAAACATTAATTCTACTCAATAACTATCAGACCGTGAAGAGTTAATCAAAAAAATACCAAAAAAAAGAAAGAAAGATATATATAATGAGATATTGTCGTCTATTTGATTTGATCATTATAACTAATTTTACAATCGTTCGATACTGTAAAACTGTCAGAAATATATATACACAAAAGCAAACAAGATTTAATTGGTATATATGTTTATTCAGATTCTTTTTTTTTATTGTGATAAATTATAATGTATTCTTTATTTTTTTTTTTTTCTTTGCTTGAATAAATCGACCGTGAATGATTAAACTAATCGAATTAGTTTATGTTTTTTTTTTTTTTCTTTATGTAAGGAATAATTATCAAATATGATTCATCATTCATATATTTTTACTAAATAATCTGACAGACGAAATACCATAGTCAACTGACTCTTGACTCAGATTTATCTTCATCAAAAACAAATATTAATACACTTAAAAAATGAAAACAAAACAAAACAAAAAAACAAACCTTTTTTTTATGTAAACAAATAATGTTAATATCACATAATGTTAATGGTTCATTTGTTGTACCATTTAATTGTGTTGTACCATCAATAATATATGATGGTTGAAAATTATTATTATTATTATTTTCTGGTTGTTGTAATGCTAAAGACATATTTCATAATTTCTAGAACGGACAAAAGAACAAAAAAAAAAAATACATTTAATTTCATCTATTCTGACGTGTGTTATTTTCTTTTCGTTTTCGTGCTTCTTAAATATGCACAAGCACCAGAACAGATATCTGAATGAAAAATAGAGACACACGTAATCACGTACAAACAAACAGACAAACAAACAAAAAAATATAAATAGTTAAATTTGTATATATTAATGCTAATAGAATTAAACATCATTTTCACCAACTGAATGTCCACCTGTTATCATATCAAATTCATTTGGATGTTCAGATGTATCACCATTATCATATGATGTAAAATTTTGTTGATGTTGTTGTTGAAGTATATGTTGTAATTGTGGATGTTGTTGTTGTTGTTGTTGTTGAATAGAAGTTGATGAAAAAAGAGGTTGATAATCATGTGGTGTTAATGGTGTTTGAGGAGTTTCAGGAGGTGATGTACTTGTTGATGTTTGATGTTTATAAATAGCCATTTCTGCTTGATAAACATGTTTTTTTTCTGATGCTGCTTGTTCATATTTATTTTTTAATTCAATTGGAGCATTTTTCCATCGAATACCAAGTTCTCGTGCTACATCACTTACAGACATACCTATATATGAAAAATTACGTCTATATATATATATGTGTATAATATGAATAAGGATTGAATGATTTTTATTACGTAGGTATAGTATATGAAAAGAAAAATATGTACTTAAATGAAAATCTATTTATTAGTGTAGATTTTTTTGATATTGTAATTAGGTACAAATTATGTTTAAAGGTCATTATTAAAAGTACCCTTTTATCTATCTGTATCTTAATTTAAAAAAAATTTCTCTAATAGCAGATGATAAACTCTACTTATTTGTGTGAGCTATGACAGAATGACAGTAATGTGATGACTCTATAAAAGCTTCAATGCCTACACATTAATTTCAGTCTACTACATAATAAAAATGAATTGAATATAGTTTTTTTTTCTAATTGACAATTAAAAGTTCTATTTTTATTATTTTTTTTTTTGTGAAGATTTCTACTAACCATTTATGTTATTTTCTCTTCGTTGTCTCTCCTTCTAAGCCTCAGGGAATATTCTTAAGAGACTTTCATACTCAGCAATCTGTTAAACAAACAAATAATTAGTGAAAAACAAAGTCGAGCTCGATATGTAGACTTAGAAAAACAATTGTATATAATTAGTATGACGATGTTTTAATATATTTTAATTAATTAATGTAAAAGTCTATTCTTTTTCTGATTGTAATAAACAATATCTTATTCAATTTATGAATTTTTGCATAATAAAAAAAAGACAGACATATATTTTCATCTTTTTTCTTATTTTTTTTGTTAAAATTTGCAAATAGATTATTTATATGCTAAATTTAATTTTACAGCTACAAGTAGATCAAAACAAAATGTGAACTTCTATGAATTCATTTATAAATTTATTATAAACTATCTAAAAATAGATTTCAATCTTTGAATAAATCGACTTCAATGTTACCCTAAAAATTATTCATCATCTACTGTTGTTTGACTTGAAATATTATAATGCAAATATGGTAATGTTATTTTTACAATTCATCAAAAGTATTGGCATAAACAACTTTCTGACAAATTATCTAAGTTTTATTCTTTTCATGAAAAAGAAAAGATTCTAATTAGTTTATTAAAATTACATTACATGCATTTGAACTATAATATAATTATGTATTATATAATCAGCATGAAAAGATATGAAACTGAAAAAAAATTTAACCTTCGAAGTACGTTGTTGAACACAACAGTTATTAATTAAAAAATATTCTTTGATCTTATATATACAACGTTAAACATAATAAAAAAAAAAACCCTCTGACTTGATAAAGACTAATTCATTTTAGCTTTACATTATGAAGAGGATTATTCGATTGAAATTTCAAGATTTAATCTTTGCATAGAGAATTAAAAAAAAAACAGTGCATACTAATCTTAATAGATCTTACTAAATGAAATTAATTTTTAATTTTTTTTGTTTTAATATTCAAATGATGTCTTTTTTTTTGTCTTCTCTTTAATTAAAGAACATTTTTTTTACCTGTCTGTGAACCATGAACTTTTGGTCGTTCATCAGCACAAAAAAGAAAATATGCTGATAAAGGTTTCTTCGGCGCATGTGGATCTTTTGGTTTTCTTTCACGTTTTTTTGCTGGTTTTTTTGGTACAGTAAGAATTGTTGTTGTGGCTGTTTGTTGTGTTTGTGTTGGTATAATTAATGTATGTTGTTGTGGTTCGACAAGATATTGTGTTGATGGTGTTTGAAGTAATATTGATGATGTTGCAGATTGTTGTTGTTGTTGCTGTTGTTTAGCTGATTGTTCTTGTAAATATGTTGCCATTTCTTCTTTATATCGTTTACGTTGTAAATCCGCTGTATCATTAAAACGTTTTTTTTCACTATCATTCATAACTTTCCAACGTTCTGAACATTTCTTTGCAATAACATTATAATCAACTGTTAATTGAGGATATTTACGACGTAATTCATCACGACATGTACGAACAAATAAAGCATAAGCTGTTACTGGTCCACGAGGTTTATTAGCATCCAAAGGTTTTTTAGGCATTATGATTGAAATAAATTAAATATTTACCTTTGAATAATTTATATAACAATGTGAGATCAAAGGTAAATAAAGAATAAGAATAATTATAAGGATGGATGATTTTCTTATTTTTTTCTCTCTCTCTCGTTTAAAAGGAAAGGTAGAAAAAAAAACAATAAACATCATCATCAACCATTTACAGAAAAAAAAAAAGAGAATCATTAGTGCAATTGTGAGAATGTGCTACAATCAATGTCAAATGTAGATTTGACAGGAGGATTGATGGTAAGTTTTTATTGGTTCATTTTTCGATGAATTAATGACTATGTTTTTCATGAATCAATTAGTGTGAGCGAAAGAATTGTGTTTTCTCAAGTTCTCAGCAATCATCTCGCACGATTTACTCAAGTTTTATATAACGAAAACTTTTGATTGTTAACGAAAAGGTAAGTGATTATTAAATCAATAATATCTTGAATTATTCGTGATGCATTATTGTATAGAAGAAAATTAGCCTAGTTTTCTTTCTTTTATTTATTTGGAAATGAACAAAAAAAGAAAAAAAGATCTGATACTTTTCTGATTTTCAAGAAAAACTTAAACTCGAAATGGTTTAATTCGAATTTCATATTGTAATTTTTTTTTTATCAATTTGACAAAAATAAAGTTTGCTAATCTTTTTTTTTTGTTTTAGAATCGAAATTAGTTTCTAAAATGTCAACTTCACCAACACGTAGTCAATCAGAAACTTTCTCTGAACCATCGGCTATTCCAACATCAACATCAATGTCTGAATATCCTGATCGTCCTCTTCTATTTAAAAATGATGATGATACAAGTTCAATGATATCACATGTTGATGAAAACAATGAAAATGAAGCTGTATGAAAGATTTTCTTTTTTATTTATGATCAGAACAAAAATTTGCTCGGGCTTTTTTTTTTCTCATCGAAATAATAGCTTTAGTTTAAGATAGAAAAATTAAAAACTGAAATTATTTAGTTTATTCTTGTATTAAAAGAATTCATTTAAATTATTTAGGTTGCACCATTAGTTTCTTCAATTGTCGGAGATCAAACTGATCATAAAACAACGTAAATATCATTGATTAATTTTATATATTAATTAAGAGACTATTTTTACTATTTAGGAACTTAGAAACATTAATGCATTTAATTAAAGGTAATATTGGGGCCGGTATTCTTGCTTTTCCATATGCATTATCAAAAGCTGGAATCCTTGTATGTAAATTTTCTATATATTTTTTTCTTATTTAATTGTTTTGTTTTCTGTTTATTATTTTAGTTTGGTCCTATTGCTTTTTGGATAATGGGTATAATGACACTTTATTGTATGCATCAACTTCTTCGATGTCATGATTATTATCGATATATGTTAGTTAATAAAAATATATAAAGTATGATTTGAATAATTAAGTTTTTTTTTTTTTTTTATTTAGTACATCACGAGAAAAATGTGATTTTGGAGATATTATGCGATATACATTAGCAACATGTCGTTGGAAATGGGTTCATCGTTATGCAAAATTGGGAAAGTAAAGAAAAATATTAATATATTCAAATAAATATATATGTATAAAAAAAATTTTTTTTTTTCTAATTTAGATTTGTTATTGATGGTTTTATTGTAATCACACAACTTGGCTTTTGTTGTGTCTACTTTGTATTTGTACCAGCTAGTATTAAACAAGTAATGATTGTTGATGGAGCTTTAATTGTAGTCTTGTAAAAATATTGAGCGATACAATTAATAAAAGTAAGGATATATGTTTTCTCAATATTCAACAATCGATAACTAACCATTTAAAAGAAATAGTTAGGCTACCTGAGTAGTTAAGTATTCTTTTATGAACAAGAGTTTTTCAATAAAATCAATATTATAGAATGAATTAACATTGTATCTTTTCTTATTAATCATACTTATAAATTATCATTGTTGAAAATCAATATAAATATTTTCTACAAAAAAAAAACACAAGTCAATGTTAGTTGATATATGTGAATAGTATTCTATGTAATATATATTTTTGATAATGATGACGAGAAAATTTTTTTTTTATGTTAAATGACAACAAGAATAAGCTATTCATTATTTGTTAATGTTTTTTGACAAGGTTAATGAGAGTAGAATGGCGAGAAATACTTAAAATGTGTCACTTTTCTTTTCTTAATATTCTTTCTTTTTATTATTATTATTATTGTCTCTTTTTATATGAATAATATTTCAAAAGGCTATTCAAATCTTTTCTTTTGTGTTTTACAACATATGTTTGTTAATTTATTTTATATTCAATTGTTTTCTTAAGATCATTTTTGGAAATTTCATAATAATAATTTCGAATATTACATAGTTAAAATAAATAGATGACGGAAACGAAGGACAGACTTATTTTTATGGATGATAACCTTATTTAAGCATAGGTAAAATATAGTATGTATTCTCATGAATAAGATCTGTTAGTTTCTCAATTGTAGAGAAATTTCATTGACAGATTTGCATTATAAAAAAAAACAAATTGTGATTTTAATTATGTTTAATCATAACAATCACGATCATGTGTGATAATTCGGCAAGATACTAACATTGATAATTTTATACCGATTTCTTTTTCAACAAAAAAAGAAAACATAGAGTGTTGATCAATTGAATTATTTACCTTAGTTCTTTAGTTACTTAGATATTCATTAAAGAACATTATAGGCTATATAATTTCAAATTTATACATTTCACATAAGTAACAACAGATTTATAAAGAAAAGTAATATCTTATATGTTTATCACGCACTTGAATTAGTAAGTCTAGAAGTACTATTTTCGTTATTTGCACTTTAGGGCATCTCTATTTTTGTGCTCATTGCTAAGTCTGAAGTAGTATCTATCTATTGAGTATTCAAAAATTTTCTTTAAACATTAGATAATTAAATTAATGAAAACTGTACATTAACTTGCGTTTTTTCTTGAAACCAAATTTTGAACAAAAACAATTGAAAACTTCCTCCCTATTCTTCGAGACGCCTCGACCAATGAGAATCAAATTCTTTATAAGACAACTAGGATTAGATGGGAGTGTATATGTTTTAAAAAAATGTTCTGATGATTATTAGACGTTGCACCCTCTATGACTCATAGAATGAAGTATCGAAAAATTTTGAGCCTATGACAAATTTTGCTCTGCTAATCGAGATCTATCTACAGTGAAAGTTTTAGTATTTTTGGTTGATCTATTATTAAGAAATCCAGAAAAGAAAGTTTTTCTTAATGAATATGTGTGTTGATATCAACATGTCCTTTTTCGACAACATCTCCATAATTTTTTGCATTCTAAATATGATGTATTAGTTTATGTAACACAAGATCATTGTTAATAAGGTGTTTCAATAGATTCAGTTTGTAAATCAATCTCAATTCGAATAAAAAAATATTAATTAAGTTAATATTGGCAAATAACAGTCACTATGTAGAAGTAAATATTTAATCAAGAAAAATAAAAAAAAAAAGAAACGTCACAGTGATATAGAAAAATCAAGATAAGACCAATGTCACATATGCATAAAGTCAGCCCTCACTTTTATCTGTTAATAGTAATCGTCTTTTAAAACAGGGTCGATTATAGCGAATCATGACCTCTATATGATCACAATCAAACATGTTTTATTTGATAGAAGAAGCAAGGAGAAAAACAATTAAATCTGAAGGAAATTCAATGAACTTTGTCAGATTTGGTTATTGATCGCGAAATGTAGTTTAGTAGAAAAAATTGTAGCGCATCGAATGGTATATATATGAAATCAAGTTTTATAAAAATTTTGATGTGTTAAGCGTAAATACATTGGTTATGATCCTTGAAGAATATATATGGTACTCATAGATATTGTTTTTCCCAATGATGTTCTAAAAGTTTGCATAGTTCCTTTCTTCTTCATACTTAAAAATAGTTTCTCTTCTTAAATGTCACTCATTTCTTGGCTATATGATATTCTATTGTGCTCAACTCTATGTCACAGAACAATTGAATACCAACGTAAGAACTTTCACAAATATTGCATGCTATCAAGCTCTATATGTTTTACACAGATCATCTTTCGAAAGAATAGGAATTCATTATCAAGTTGTATATTGACGATATTTTAACAATACTAAACAATTCTATTGAAAATTTTTATGCATCAATCATCAGCACAGCATCCTTTTCGGATTGATATAAATAACTGCTTTATTAAACAGAAAAACTTTAATTGGCCTCCGAATGCCCGGAGGAAAGTACAGGAATATAATTACAGGAAAGAAGTCTGTTATTTTTATTTATGCATGACGCTCTAGGGAAATTTATAAATATCTTATGTTTATTTCAAAAATGAATGTTTTTATATATCTGTATTTCTCTCCAAAATTTATAGATGCATGAAAATTTTTAATAGGATTATTGAGCATTGTTAAAATATCGTCAATATATTGGTTCTTTTATATAGATTATTTTAGTACACAATCTTACACGTGGACGATAAGTTCCTGCTATTCTGAAAGATCTTATCTGTGAAATATATAGAATTCAATGATATGCAATATTTGACACTATGCAAAATTGAAAAGCATCTATAGCTGTATCAATCTGAGTTAAGAAATAAAACTTGCCTAAGTTTATCGTAGAACATCATGGAGACAGCAATGTCGATGAGAACTATATATATTCCTTAAGAACTATAGCAAGTGTATCAAAGCTGGGCAAGTACGAATCTTTTCGAGTACAAGTACGAGTACGCAAGATTTTCCGGAGGCTACCATGGAAAATTTAATTAGTAGATTTAGAAACGACGCATGGATTATGAGATCAACCCATTATGATAATCATGAATCAAAATCATCTTAGTATAGTTTTTAGGATGTGAACATGAATGCTATTGTGAATGTTTATGTAAGTATGGGCGTTGTTTTCACAGTCATCGATATTCTGCTTTAGTCATAATTTTACAATAGCAAATTTATTTCATTCACTGAAAAGA